CAGAGGACCAGGAAGTCTGTTGTGAGGTTGTGTCTCCTAGTCACACCAGCAGCTGTACCTGTAAAATCTTACCGACATCATCACTCAAACACGAGCTGAGCAAGGGGACATAAACGAACATGACAAACTGGATGGGGAAAATCCATGAGGCCTCAACCCTACAGAAAGAAATACAGGCAACTGGGTAAAGTGGGCAAGGAAGCGGTGCTCTTCCCCTGGGGAGGGCACACCAGCTGGCTGTCTAGTTCCAACAGTCAACCGTGGAAACACACACAAGGACCATTATACAGACTCAACAGGTTTTGTTTGGGAATATATATGTATAAACAAATGCATAGATGCATGCAATAACAGCTAATGAAAAAGAGGTCATGAGCTTGAAGGAGAGTGGGGAGGGGTGTATGGGAGGGCTTGAGGGGAGGAAAGGGAGGGAAGGAAAAAAAACAACAGTTCTGTCATGACTGCTTGTCTATTTGAGGCCTAACTACGCATATATTCATTAGTGCAGAGAAGACATTACAAAAGAGTAAACAGAAATAAATTAAAGAATTTAACTGTGTTCATTCTCTCATATAGTAAAGGTATTTTTAAAAATAGAATGTTTGTTCAATGTTTTGCTATGGAAAGTGAAGTTATTTATCATAAAAATGTATTATTTATGTGACCGTACAATGAGTTTTCTATTAGTACTTTTTAAATTATTATTAAATTTTTCCATCTTTAATTCCTTTCATGGTGAACACCTATCTTAGTTTAACAGTCCAGAGCTTTATCCAATACTTATGAAAGTAACTTCAGGGAGAAAAGTCTTTGAGTTCATGATCACCTGGCTCTACATGCTTGGACAGAACACTGGGGTAGTGGAAGCATATGGCACAGGAGAGCAGAAGAAGGGGGAACAGGAGGTGGCCAGAGACAACAAGACAACCTCAAGGTCCAAAGCCCTAGTTACTTACTTCCTGTAGCTAGGTCCCAACTCCTCAAGTCTCCAGAAAACCTCCCAAAATAGTGCCACCAGGTGGATACCAACCTCCCAACACATCAGCCTTTTGAAAAAGGACACTTCATATCCAAAGCATAAAAACACCAGATATTAGAAACTATATAAACAAAAACTCTCCAGTGAATGAATAATGTTCATGTTTTTAGTATTTAAAGATAACCCAGGAAAAGACCTCTGCCAGAATTCTTCCCAAGAATAAAGGGCAGGTAGAGGCGTGAAAGGAAATATGGGAATACTGTATTGAATAGCACACACACCACTGTCAGATTTCATTTTTCAAAATAAGATTTACTGATTTTTAATTTTTACTTATGTCTATGTGACACATGTGTGTATGGGTGTTTGTGTATGTGGCACCACATGTGTATGGGTGCCTACAAAGGACAGACATGGAATTGAATCCCTGGAGTTTGAATCACAAGCAGTTGTGAGCCATGAAATGCCAGGAATAGAACCTGGGATCTCTGGAAGAGCAATGAGTGCTCTTAACCACTGATGAATCGTTCTACAGAGTCTGCGGCTTCTTTTTATATTTGTATATTATATTATTTGTTCCTACTCACTGCACCCCTGCCATTTACCAGCGTGTGTGTGTGTGTGTGTGTGTGTGTGTGTGTGTGTGTGTGTGTGTGTTTAAAAAACATTGTGTTTACTGGGCTTTGGAAGCATGAAAATATGACTATTAATTTCTAAATTTCTAAAGATTTAAATAAATTATTACTTCTTTTAATGCTTTAAAACAACTTTGTGATCATGGTGGATTTTTTTTAATGTGTTCTTGGATTTGATTTGTTAGTATTTTATTATTTTTTGCATCACTGTTCATGATGGAAATTGGTCTATAATTCTATTTCTTTGTTGTGTCTTTGTGTGGTTTGGGTATCGGGGTGATGGTAGTCTCATAAAAAAGAGTTTGGCAATGTTCATTCTGTTTCTATTGTGTGGAATAATTTGAGGAGTATTAGTATTAGCTCTTCTTTGAAATTCTGGTAGAATTCTGCGCTGAAACCATCTGGCCCTGGTTTTTTTTTTGTTTGTTTGTTTTGTTTTTTGTTTTGTTTGTTTGTTTGTTTTTTTTTTTTTGGTCGGGAGACTTTAATGACTACTTCTATTTCCTTGGGTCTATTTAAGTTGTTTATCTGGTCTTGATTTAATTTAAGTAGTACCTATCCAGAAAATTTTCCATTTCTTTTGGATTTTCCAATTTTTCTGGGTAGAGGTTTTTGAAGTATGACCTGATGATTCTCCAGATTTCTTCAGTGTCTTTTGTTATGTCTGTTGGGTATCAGATGTAAGACAAATCTTAAAAGGTCTCATAGATTAAAAAAAACTGGAGCCAGATATTGGGGTGAAAACTGAGAGATCAGAGGAATAGAACAAGCCACAGCCCACCTCACCTTACCAACCCCTCAGCCTCCAGAGAGAGCTACTTCTTGTATCCTCACACCTATATCCTTTCTGTGCTCTGCCATCTCACTTCCTCTCTCTGCCCAGCTACATCACTTCCTCTTTTTCCCAGCTCTATCACTTCCTGTCTGTCTGTACAGACTTCCAGACCTCTATGGTTAACTACTTCTGGAATTTAAATCCAGATGAATCTCTGCCTCCTGAATGCTAGGATTAAAAAGGTGTGTGCTACCATTTGCCTGACCTTTATGTTTAATATAGTGGCTGGCTTTTTGCTCTGATCCTCAATAAACTTTATTGGGGCGCACAAATAAAGTATCACCACATTTCCCCTTTTTCTGTCTAAAATAAAAAAGTTATAACTAATATAAGAAAAACTATATACAATAAGTATAATAACTATATACAATATATACAGGCAATAATATATCAACAATCAATCACACCCCTTTTCATTTCTGATTTTTAATTTCTGATATTCTCTCTCTGCCTTTTGGTTAGTTTGGATAGGGGTTTGTCTATCTTGTTGATTTTCTTGAAGAACCAACTCTTTGTTTCATTGATTCTTTGTATTGTTCTCTTTGTTTCTATTTTATTGATTCCAGCCCTCAGCTGATTATTTCCTGTCATCTACTCTTCCTGGGTGAGTTTGCTTCTGGATTGTTTCCAGGTTCTGGCTATTAGGAATAATGCTGGAGAGGATGAGGAGTAAGGGGAACACTAGTCCACTGTTGGTGGGAGTGGAAACTTGTACAGCCACTTTGGAAATCAGTATGGTGGTTTCTCAGAAAAATGGGAATCAATCTACCTCAAGACCTAGAGATATCACTCTTGGGCATATACCCAAAGAGTACACAATCATACTATAAGGACATTTGCTCAACTATGTTAATAACAACATTATTTGTAATCACGACAATCTGGAAACAATCTACCTCTCAACTGAAAATGGATAAAGAAAATGTGGTACATATTTCTTTATGTATAATGACATCATGAGGTTTGCAGGCAAATGGATAGAACTAGAAAATATCATCCTGAGTAAGGTAACCCAGACTCAGAAAGACAAATATGGTATGTACTCACTCATAAATGGATATTAGATGTAAAGCAAAGGATAACCAGGTTACAATCCACAACCCCAGAGAAAGGTAAGTTAGGTAAAACTTACCTAAAAAAAGTTAGGTTAAAAAGGAGGGCCCTAAGAGGGACAGACATAGATCCCCCTAGAAAAGGGAAATAGATAAGTTCCTCTGAGTAAACAGAGCACAGGGGGTGGGAGAGGAGGGAGGATAAGAAAATGAGGGAACAGACTGGGGGATGGACAGAGAGGGAGAACAAGGAAAGAGATACCTTGACATAGGGAGCCATTATGGGGTTAGGAAGAAACCTGGTGTTAGGGAAATTCCCAGGAATCCACAAGGATGACCCCAGCTAAGATTCCAAGCAATAGTAGAGAGGGTGCCTGAACTGGCCTTCCCCTGTAATCAGATTGATGACTACCTGTAGCTGGAGGGCTTCTCTCCAGGTTCCCCAAGCCCTGCAGTCCCACAATCCACTTATAAAATAATCACTCAGACGCTTATATCACTTATAAACTGTATGGCCGTGGCAGGCTTCTTGCTAACTGTTCTTTTATCTTA